CACCTGGAGGCCTAGGACAGACCTCAGGAGAAGGAAGCAGAAGCCCCGCTCCAGCCCTTTCCTGGGGAGACATTTGGAGAACATGATGGAGGGTTGTCCTGCCTCTTTCCAGGAAGCAGACCCTGCTAGAGGAGTGCAAGGAGCGAATCTGTGCCCTCAACTTCCAGATTGAGGAAGAGAAGAGCAAACAGAGGCAGTTGAGGTAAAGCCAGGTGCCTGAGGCCTTCGGGGGCTGGAATGGGTTATAGATGGGGGTGATATCAGGGATGGGGGTTAAAAGAGGAACTGGCCAAGCTAAGGCCCAGAGGGTCAAGGTGGTGAAGTTTCCCCAGAAGAGCAAAGAGTATGGGCAAGCCCCCCTCCCCAGGACTGTACATGGAGACCCTTGGCCTGGGCCAGGATGTGGGGCGTCTCAACCCAGGACCCCTCATCCAATTGTGGTTGGCCCCCAGATTGGATTTCGAGAAACAGTTGGAGGAACTGATGAGCCAGCACAAGGACCTCTGGGAATTCCATGTGAGTCACTCAAATCCATTCCTCCCATTTCCCCCCATCTTCCTTGGCAGAACCAGGCCCAAAATTCAGTCATCCTCCAGGCTTCATTCCTTTCACCCGCCACACCCAGTGTCTGAGCAAGCTGTGATGGCCGTACCTCAAAATCCCCTCCAGTCAGACCCTCATCACCACCCTCACTACCACCCAGTTTCATCCTCTTCTCTGGTCCTGCCCACCCATCCCTGCTGCCTTCTCAGGGCCCTTCAGTGGTCAGGAGGAATCCTAATGAACTAAGGAGGGGTCATCCATCAAGGAGACCCATAGATATATTTGGGGATATCACAGGTAGGGGGTGGGGGTCAGGGTTTGCCACCAAGGGATCCAACCTCCAAACCAGAAACTAGGCAGAGAGAATGAATGTCAGGATGGAAGGGCTCACTGAGGGGGCCACGCAGAGGAATGAGGAAGAGCAACAGGGCTGGCTGGTCCCCGATTCTCCGGAGGATAACCTCCTGAGCCTCTCAGCACAGCACCGTGGGTAGCTGGGGAGAGCCGTTCCAGGCAGAGGCAGGAGCCAGTGCGGAGGCCCTGGGGCTGGACCGTGCCTGGCATGTCTGCAGGGCCAGCGTGGTAGGAAGTGTCATGCTGAGTGAAGACTGGATGCAAGTAGGCTTCTCGGAGGCGAATGGGGGGAAGCGGGAGATAAGCATGGGCCTCCTTTCTACCCCCTCAGAGTCCAGAGCAGCTGGCCCAGGAGATTGGCGCCCTGGACAGCAGCAATGAGCAATTGCTCAAGGAAGGTGAGAATGGGGGGGCCCTGCTCTGCCCTGGCCTGCTCTGCCCTGCCCTGGCCTGCCCTGCCCTGGCCTGCCCTGCCCTGCCCTGCCCTGCCCATCTGTCCCTTCCTGCTGCAGAGAAGCTGGTAGAAGCAAAGCTGGAGGACGTGAAGAACCGCCTGTGCTCCCAGTTTGGTACCAGGGGCTGCTCCGCCATCACCGAGGGGCTCTTCCTCCGCAGCAAGGAGGCAGCAGCTGCAGTGTAAGACGGGCAGCGGGGGAAGGGCAGAGGGAGGGAGGACAGCACTGTGGCCCCACCCTCAGCCATCTGTTTGAGGAGGAGACCAGAAAGGCCCAGGAGCTCCTGGAGGACACTGCCCAGCGCCACGAGCAGCTGCAGGGGGAGTGCCAGCAGCTGCAGCAGAGGAGGCAGAGGTGGGCATGGAGCCCCTCTCCCTGTCTGTAAGGGGAGGCTGCTCAGGGAGTCTCCTGCCTCTGTCCCCCGCTCTCTCTAGCTCTTTTCCCTCTCCTCCCCCCCTCTTATCCATCCCTTTATGTCCAGGCTGAAGGAGGAACTGGAAAAGCTCGGAGTGCAAGTCACTTCTCAATCCCAGAGCAAACAAGAGGATGGGGCCAGCCCAGAAGAAGCTGTGAGCCCTGGAATCACAGCCTGAAAACGGCCCTCAGCCCCTTACCCAGGTTGGCCATGCCCCCATGGGGTGAGGGTCCGTGCCCACCCCCTGGCTGCTCATGTGGGCAGTTATAGCTACCACCTGGCTCACATTTTATATTGCAATTAAACCAAACTTTCTGACTGTAAACCCTTTGGTTCTGTGTCACGATTTCACAGAGGCTTGGTATGCTAATCAAAATATCAGCAAAGGCAACACACACACACACACAGACACACACACACAATCACAGGAGGCAAGGAGGGGGTCCAGGGCGTCCTCGGAGGATGATCTTCCCACAGGGGCACAGCCAAGGCAAAGTCTACTCTAGAAGAGTCTGTCGGGGGGGTGGGGGGCAGGCCCCAGGGAGGGTGTGGGTACACAGATTTCGGGAGACTTCCATCTCAGATCCTGACCTCCCGCAGGCCAATCCAAAGCCCCTCGGAGTCAGCGAAGAGAAAGATCCAGAGCTGCCCACTGAGCAGGGCCTGGTGCCCTCCTAGGCGAGGAGGCCCCCTGCCCTGGAGCGTATGGCTGGGCTTTAGGAAATAAAGGCACTATTTCTGTCCACCTGCCTCAGCTGTGTCCACTCTGGGGGGTTGGGGAAGGGGAGGAGAGGCCGCTGGAACTGGGCCGCACTCGGCCTCTTGGCCTCAGAGGACATTAAATCAATGGTTCCCTCGCCTCCCAGTCTCTGGTCTGCTCACCTCCAGGACCCACTGCTCTGGGAGTGTTGGGAGTGTTAGTCTGTGCTCCAGGTCAAAATACAGCAAATTAAGTACAAAGAGATTCCTTGTCTTGAAAGGCTCCCATGCCCAGGTAGGACAGTGAATGGTGGGGGTGGAGAGAGACCACACAGGCCCCAGACTGAACAGCACTGTTTCCATGGAAAAGGAAGAATAGGCCCCAGTGGGAATTCTCCCGTCAGCAGGAGAGTCGAGGCATCAAACCTGAAACCGAGACTCGGTTTGAACAGCAGGCCCAGTGGCATCCTTATCCTAATCCCAGAACCTGTGACTAAGTTACCTCACCCAGCAAAGGGGCCTCTGAATATGTGGTGAGGGTCTTGGGATGGGGAGACGGTCCTGGGCCATCTGGGAGGACCCCTACAAGAGGGAAGCAGGACGGACCGTCAGAGAGACTGGAATATGGTACCACTGCTGGCTCTGGAGCATGACCTGTTTATTGAGGACAGTGTGTGCACGGTGTCCGGAGGCCCTGCATCCCTAGTCGCTCCCCCCTCACTAGCACAGCTGAGAGCGGCTTCCTCATGCCCCTTTACCACCTTCAGAGCACCCGGGCCTCACGCTTGTGAGCGGGGAAGGAGACAGAGTTTGTAATCGGGCGGGATGCAGGCAAACCCATTCACGATGGGGGTGAGGTCAATATCCTTGGGGTCGACGAGAGACTTCAAGTTAAAGTGCTGAAGAATGGCGGTGAAGAACAAAAACAGCTCCATGCGAGCCAGGCCTTCTCCGACACACACCCGCTTCCCTGGAGTGACGACAGTATACATGAGACAGGCGGGCGGAGGCGGGATGGACCCCTGTCTGCCCGTTGAAAGGAAGCACAGAACGTTTTCAGGGTAAGAGTATCAGTAACACATATTCAGGGACCAGCCTTCACACACCTCAACCTCCAGGACGCAGCTGCCTAAACCCATTCGACGCTGGAGAATGGTCCCTGCCCACCCCATGCTCACCCATGTCCCGCAGGCAAGAAGCCAATGCTATACCATCAGGTGTTAAAGTTACCGAGCTGGTTATAGGACCTTCCCTCACACCAACAGCTGAGAGAAGACCTGGAGAGGAGACCCAGGCCCAGAGGTGAACAGGGAAGAAAGGCTGAGGGTGCCATGATGGCCCAGGTAACCAAACGTTACATTCTGTTTAGTAGCAGATAGAGAATTAGGTAATACCATTTTTGAAAGATTTTTTTTTACTAAGTTCTATTAAAGAGTTTTAGTCCTGAATGAAGTGAAATATTTACTGTTCAGAAAGATAATCCATCCACAACACCTCATTCCCAGGACTTCTGGTGAGAAGATGTCATTAACCTCTGAACAGGGAGGCACACACTTGGGTCACATTGTGAATAAGGACGTGATGCAGGTCTGAGATGGTGGCAGGTTACCCCGGGAATTCGGGACAAATCCTGGGAGGGTGCTACAACTGAATGCTTCTTACCTGCGGAAAATACCTTGAAATAGTCACTGTACTTGAACTTTCCTTTTTCATCCAGAAAATGCTCTGGCTTAAACTTGTCTGGGTCAGGGAATTCTTGTTTGTCAAACAAGAGGGAGTCCAGTGTCGGAATTAGGACTGTGCCCTAGGAGAACAAAAGCTTTCTCAGTCAAGTTAGCAATGCATGGGCTTCGATCTGGAGGCCCCCAGTGAAGAAGGGGGTTTTGCATTTTACCTGTGCAAGAAGGAAAGTGTTCAGTGGGGGACCAGATAGGAAGAACTCAGGTGTCAGGTCTAAATAGCAGTGGGAGCGCTAACCTTTTCACTGGAGTAAAGGGCTGGTTGTTGCTGGTTGTTTTCTGGTGTTGGAATATCCCACCAACAGCCCTGGCCAGTTTGTTTGGCTCAGTGGATAGAGCGTTGGCTCACAGACTGAAGTGTCCCAGGTGCAAGTCAGGTCAAGGGCATGTACCTTGGCTGCAGACTCCGGTCACTTGCAGGAGGCAACTAATCGATGTGTCTCTCTCTCATTGATGTTTCTCTCTCTCCCTTTCACACTCTCTAAAATTCAATGGAAAAATATCCTCAGGTGATACCACCAACCACAGGGACTATCTCAGGAGCCCATTTTCCATATTTCCCCGATCTCTGTGGTCACCAGGTCCACGTGAGGACGGTTAGGGAAGGGGCACCCTGCAGCCAGGGGTGCCCAAGCCACACCTGCCAGAAGGAGTTGTCCTTGGGCCCTCCATCCTCCCCGGGCAGGATAGTGGCTGAGCTGGCAGGACAGTACTAGGGGCGTGCAGTCAGCTCACATCTGACCTTGGGGATGACGTAGCCTCTGAACACTGTGTCCTGGGTTGCTTCATGATTCAGGTTGGAGGGCAGGAGGTTGGTGAACCGCTGGATCTCATGCACCACGGCGTCCATGTAGGGCATCGCTAGCTTGTCCTTGATGGAAGGGATTCGGTTTGGCCCAATCACCCTGTCAATTTCTTCATGAAGTTTCTCTGCCAAGATATGAATGAAAAGATGTAAAGGATTGACTCTAGGCTGGCTCAATAGCCAGTGAGCCAGCCAGCCATCTAGGGAGCCCTCCAGGCCAAGAGTGCTCCAGGCTGCCAGGAGCCTGGGATTGCTGGACAGCCCCTCCACAAATGTCAGTGAGAGCTAGGCTCGTCAGGTTCTAGTCTGCAGCATGTTTAGGCATCCGCTCTTTTTTTAGTTATTATTGAGGTAACATTGGTTTGTAGCATTATATATACAAATTTCAGGTGTACAATGTTAAAATTCAACATCTGTATGTACTATATTGTGCTCATCACCATCCATCACCATACAATTAACCCCTAACCCAGGGGATATTAACACCTTACATATGTGATTTGCCAATATCTTTTCCCATTCTGTTTTTTGCCTTTCGTTTTGTACTGTGCAGAAGCTTTTTAGTTTGATGTTCTGTTTATTTTCACTTTTGTTTCCCTTCCCTTTGGAGTTAAATCCATAAAAACATCACTAAGACTGATATCAAAGAGCTTAGTACATGCTTTCTTCTTCATATGTTGTGGCTTCAGGTCTTAGGCTCAGATCTTCAATCCATTTTGACATAATTTTTGTGTCTGGTGTAATGTAGTGATCTAGTTTCATTCTTTTGCATGTGGCTATACACTTTTCCTAACACTACTTAACTATACAGATCTCGTCCTTTTCCATCTCCTCTTTCATGTTTTTTTGTGGCCACAAACTATCCCATTTTATTTTGTGAGCTTGTTACCAAGTTGAAATAGCTATAGTTATTTTTAATGCGTTTCCCCCTTTAACCGTCATGCTGTAATTTAGTGTTAAACACCTCACTCTGAAATAGCTTTGCAATTTTCTGATTCTGTCTGTCTCTTCTCACCTTACTGAAGTTGTGTGTAGTTTCATCTCAGGGAGAAGAGCTCTTTACATTTCTTACAATGCAGGTCTAGTGGTGGTGAGCTCTTCAGCTTTTGTTGGTCCGGGAAGGCCTTTATCTCCTTCATATCTGAAGAATACCTGTGCTGGATAGAATCTCCCTGTGCAGTGTTTATTTCTCAGTATTTTGAATATGTAATTTTACTCACTTCTGGCCTGTGGAGTTCTGCTGAGATATCTGCAGATAGCCTAATGGGGGGTACCTTTGTAGTTTACTATCTTCCTTCCCTCCCCCAGTTGCCTTTAAAATTCTATGTCGTTAACTTTTGATAGTTTTAATATAATGTTTTGGAGAAGTGCTTTTTGTGTTGAGGTAACTAGTTGTTTAATAGCTTCCTATACTTGTATGCCCAGCTCCTTCGTCAGGTTTGGGAAGTTCTCAGCTATTGTTTCTTTAAATAAGTTCTCTGTTTCCTTTTTACTCTCTTCTTATCTGGGATACCAAGATAAGAAGATGTTCCTTTTTTTTTTTTTTTTTTAGTGAGTCAGATAGTTTCTTCATTTTTAAAATCTTAAATCTCTCTCCTCTTTCACGTGATCACCCGTAGATTTCTGTCTTCTCTCCCCTGTGGTCTGCTCTGTTTCCAGGGCTTTCTGATGAGTCTTCACCTCATGTATTGAGTTCTTCGGCTCCAGGATATCTGTTTGGTTCTTTTATAGAGTTTCAGTCTCTTGGGTAACGTGTGTTTCTGTTCATTAATTTTACTCGGGAGCATGTTAAATGGTCCTTCTGAGTTTTCTCAAAGCTTGCTGTTTCTTCATGCCAGCTGTTTTGAATTTGCTATCAATTCGGTTACAATCTTCTGTGACTTTAAGTTTGACTCCCGGAGAATTCTCGTTCTCATGGTGTTTGATGAGTGGTTCCTCTGCCAGTGCACTTGGAGTAGCAAACAGTTTTCTTATTTAGGTGAAGCGTGGTTTACTTTAATTCCAAGATTCAACAGGTCGGTGATTAGAGACCTTATTCTTTCTTCCAGTAGGTGGCGCTACAGCACACGTTTTTGGTTTCTCTTATCTGAGTTGCTTCAGGTTTGAGAGGTGGCACTCCCCCCTCCACTGCCTCTGCCAGAGGTGCAGTCCTTGCTGTTCTTAATGCCGCTAAAGCTGCTGGCGCCTTGCTGCTGCTGCTGCTGATGTCATTGTGGTAACGGGCATTGATGCCAAGATCACAGCCTCTCTGCTACCAGCAGGGTTGTCAGGTTTGAAGGCGCCACCACAGTCACGGGCAGGGGCTGAGGCCCTGGGCTCCGCCTTGGCAGGGGGGCTGGGGTTGCAGGCCTGACCTCCACTACCACTTAGTCCCTTGTTAGCGTCCATTCTCTCATCTGATCAGGATGAACTCAGCTCTTGTCTTTATGTCAGAAGTAGAGACTAACAAAGTGGACTTGGAAATCTCTATTGGGAGAGGAACCTGTGTGTTGATGACTGCTAAGAAGTCTGACTGTGAATGGTCGAATGAAGACAGACATGCACATCTGCTGCTTGGAG